GAATTGAACCAACAACCCCTTGGTTCACAGGCTGGCACTCAATCCACTGAGCCACACCAGTCAGGGTGCACTTGGCCTGTAGGTACAGAGATACTCCCTGGCTAACAGAGAGAATAGGATGGAGCTGAACCTCTCAAACTTCTGGAATCTGAAAACTTATTTTGTATCTTCCTGCCCTTTGGGGTGGAGACTTGAGTGGACATCCAGGAAAGACTGTCCTCTGCTCTGTGAAGTCACTGGACCTGGTGCAAATAGAAACACGGTGTACACTCTTCACTCTTGGAGGGGAAACCTGAACACAGTCTCAGAAGGGGAAGTAAAGTGTCCTGTCTGATAACAGAAAAAGGGAATAACTTTCCAGGTAAAAACAGAACAGAACATTGATCATACATGTAACACTTAAAAAGGAGAGGGAATTACTATATCTTTGATCAGAGCTGCAGCTCCCAATTCCCCAGATGTTGGAGCTTTTTGGAGAAACATAGTTGACTACGTAACTGTTGGCTACCTGGTGTCCCCAGAACCAGTGTTTGTTCTTTTGGAGCTCTGAGCAGCAGTTTTCAGGCACTGTGAGTCAGGGTGAAGAAGGGACTGGCAAGCAGGCAGGCAGAGTGGCCCTTTTGGCTCTAATGGATCCCAGTATGGGCTTGTATGTGATATCATATGGGGGATGCTACAGAGGGAAAGACCAGGTCTGTTCCCTGTGGGGCTGGAGAGGTAGGCCTGAGACTGGGGAACAGGAAAAAGTCCTCCCTGGGGGTTTGCTCTCAGAAACACAAGGGAGGCCTGGGCATTCCCAGTGCTTGTGCTTGGGGAAGGAGTTAAACCAGCCCAGCCACAGGGGCCTTTATTAGGGTTGGGGTCTGGAGGTTGTGCCAACAGCCACATTCAGCAGTAGTCAGAGGGGCAGCTTTACCCTTTGGAAAACTCTCCTTCACTTCTCAGCTGGTGTGCTCTTCTGTATTGTGATGGGCTGAGGGGCAGGGCAGGCCTAAGCTGTCCTTGGGCCAGAGGATCAAAAGGGAGAATAGGGTCCCCTCTCTGGAAGTTGAGGTGAAAACATCAGAGGGGACCAACAGCCAAGGACAGCTGTGCCCAGCAGACAGTGTCCTCTAGAGGGCAGCATTGTGATGGCCTGACAAAGCGGTAGGTGGACAAGAAGGCTGTTGACTATCCTTGTGAAATCATAGCAAGCAGACAGACCTTTTAGAAACAGCCAGGGGGCTTTATGACAGGGAATTTCTCAAAGATCAAGCTTCTGGGGATTTGAGCCTTGTGTGGAAAACAATTTTTTAAGGGGAAAATATGAATCTTTTGTCTCTACATTTTCTCTCCCCTTCCTTGAAGGAACCAATCCAGCGAGGCTGTGGCATTCCCATTGGCTCAAGTATATGCTGCATTCAAAACCTAGTTAGGGTGATGGAAGGAAAGAAAGACTGTGACTAGTGGCCTGCTCAGCAGATTTCCTCCTCAAGCTCCCATTTCTTCTGACAGTTCTGAGAAGTCCAGGCTTCTTTCCATCATCAGGTGAGCTGCCTGTAGCCACTGGTGCTTTGGAGAGTTGCTAGTGTTCATCAGTATTCCCACTTCTCCTCTCCTTCTGAGCACATGGGAAGACCGCACTTCCCTGCCTTGGCGAAGCTGTGTGGCCATGTGATATTTTTGGCCAATCAAATGTGACAAGCAATATGTGTCACATCTGGGTGGAAGAATTTAACAGTAATGCATGGATCTGCCAAGGTTTCCTTCTCCATTGCAGCAAACCCTAGAGCCCATGGTAGAATAACAATGTCCTAAAATGGCAGCTCCTTCATCAGTCTGGACCCAATGACCAGAGCCCCCCATAATAAGCCCACGTTGGACATGACCCATAAGCAAGAAATATCCCTCAGTAAGTCACTGAAGATTGAGGGTTGTTTGTTACCACAGCAAAACATGGTCCATCCTGACAGGTAGTTTTGCTTAGCAGAATCCATAGAGCTTTACTATTTCCTTACTATTATTCACTAAGGTGCTAGTTAGCCAATGATGGGGTAAAAAACTTAATGAACTCAAAACTGGGAACTCTTCTCTCATGAGTGAGCCCATAATGGCCACAATTCACTGGGAACTCATTCCAGGCAACTCTGGATGTGTTTAACAGTTAACTCCCACGTTTCCAGAATTCTACTAGGGTGGGTAGCTTTATAAAAATCTGTCTCCCCAGAGGCTATTTCAGTGTTGATACTTGTTCAAAAACATTCATCCAAACAAATGTCCCTTAAAAAGCTAGCCATCTAACCACCCAGGCAGAACCGGAGCAGCATTTTGAGGTTGGCTCTCAGGAACCGGCTCCAAATGAAAAGAAGAACATTCCTCCCAAGGTGGCATCCTGTTCCTCAGTAACTCAGGCTGCATGTCTGCTGCGGGCTTCCATGGTTACCAAGAGATCTGGTCTCCACAATTCTCATGATTCTCACTCAGTTACCATGGCCACAGCAAACAGTTTGAACAAACATTTCTGACCTCATTTGGGTCTCATATTTGAAAAGTAAGACATTCGGAGCATGAATTCATTTTGAAACATAAAAATCAATTGAGGGATTTAGAATGTTGAAGCACTGTGATCAAATGAACACAAGCTGTGCCCTAGGAACCTCATTTTTCCACCCACAGGAAAAAGAATGACTGCGTAAAAGATCATTTAGAATACTGTTGAAGTTTCCATATAAAGTATAGTTCAAATAATAGTATCATATTGATGAGAAAGTTCCTGATTTTGAAATAATGATATTGTGAATAAGAGAATGGCCTTGTTCTTAGGAAATACATCCTGAGGTATTTAGGGGTGAAGGGTAGTGATGTTTACAACAACCTCAAACTGTCAGTATGAAATAATAATGATATGGAGAGCAAGAAAAAGCAAATATAATAGTAAAATGTTAACATCTAGAAAACCAAGGTGAATGGCCAAATTGTTTATTCTACTCTTCTTGAATCTTTTCTGTAGGTTAGAGATTTTTCAAAATAAAAAGTTTTTTTAAAAAATCATGCATGTTCCAGATTAGTGACTTTCAAACTTTTTAATGCTAACCCACAATAAAATATAGATTGTATTAAGAAATCCAGACACATACATATATAATCTGAATGAACAAATACAGACAAATTAAATAAAAAGTTTCACAAAACAATGTGTAATCCTATAATATTACAAGTGATGCTCTATGACTTTTACATTCCATCTCCTTTTTGTAAATACGCATATTGAGTTAATGACCACTAATAGTCACAACCTATTTGAACACACCTGCTCTCGGTGGTCCTTTCTGCAACATTTCTAATACATAATATTACCTAGAGACACGCAAGAAGTATTGTCACCAGGAAGAACTGACAACTCGATGCACCTTGAATCTGGGTGGGCCTTGAAAACCCAACACCTTTTATAACAACAGTAGGAAATATATTTTCCGCTGGCATAAAATGAAGTTAGGGAGTACACAGAAGTCATGTCTATAGTAATTTTTTAAAGTTTTCTTAAGGAAAAGTTGGATGAAAGAAATGCACCTTGAGTTTCTTTATGCAGTTCTTATGACACTTCCTGTTCCTTGGACTAGCATATTTACAGAACTCAAAAAAATATATAAATGTATATATGTACATACATACTTTAGTAGGGTATATTCACATTTGTTTATGTGTTTTTGAGCATCCATTTGTTGTATAATTATATAAATTTTTAATAGGTGTTTCCCTTTGTAAAATATCAGTATCTTCTCATTTATCTGGGTAATACCTTAGCAAAAACTTCTTTAAAGTTAAAAAAAGAAAAAGAACAAGAAAACCCACCCCTCCAAATACACAGAGAGGAACTCAGGACACAAAAATTAGGGATTTCCAGAATGTTGACTAATGCAGTCATCACTACCCATGTATGGAGAACAGCTTGAACAAGTGTTTAGCAGACATACAGTCTTCGCTCTGACAGTTGGCCAACTCCCTCCCTGTGAAATATCTCAGCCTCCCTCTTCAGCTACTTGCTGCCTCCTTTCTTCTTGGCAGTGAGTCAGCCCCCAAAGTGTGCAGCCCATAATAATTTCCACAGCTAATAGGATCATCCAAGCTGGAGACTCCCTGTCCTGCTAATATAGCATTTCTGTGTCTTCTGGACACTCTTCACACAAAACACTAAGAAAAGATTTTGTGGCCTCTTCAGAAATTCACAGTGCATGTTTGCATATTGAAAGACTCTGAAAAGTCCTGTAGTAGAAAAACCTGTTAACTTTTTTTTTAGTACTAGGATTTTACAATTTGTCTAGATATTTCTCCCTCTTTTTTCCCCTACCCTCCCTAAAGTTCCTTTCTGCCTAAAGTCACCTCTGGGAATAATTGTGGAGTAAATGAAATGGGTCTTTATTTTAACAATCCCCTGACATATCTTAGACTCCAGGAAATGCCACCACCCTTAGGTCTAAGTCCCTCTCCCATCCCCCTTCTCTCCTGTCCTGTCCAATTCCTGGACCTTAGTGTCCTCAAGCCCAGGGGGAAGAGGATTGTGGTAGAAAATAAAGGGATTGGATCTTATGAGTTGCCCCATCAAGAGAATTAGCACAGTTCTTAATCCTTAGCCAATAGACTGACTCTAATTCAGACATTGCAGTCCCTGTTTCCTGGGAGATGTGGGGGGTGGGAGGAGGGATGGAGGTGGAGCCCTGAGGCCCTAGGAGCTTCTAATTCCTAGCCTTCTGGTAGGAGGGTCCATGTCCATTCTTGCTGCTCTTTTCCAATTGATGCCCATGTGACATAAGCAGACATCCATACCCCACTCCCACCCCTGCATGACATTTCCCAGGATTGTCCTCTTCCTAGGGCCATCTCTGGAGGCAAACTGTTCCTTCCACCTTCCGCTGAATTTCACATCCTGTTCCCATCCTGTCCCCCCCTTCCCTGACCATAAACACCTTCAAGCCCAGTTAAGTATATTATCCCCCACTGGCCAAGGCAGTTTGGGCCACCCCAGTGTGGCAGGGTCAGCATGTCTGTAGGATAAACACCACGTGCTGGGCCACACTGAGCAGGAGACTAGAGCCAAAAAGAAATAAGGTGTTATGGCCTGAGCTTCCCACCCCAGCTGAGGGAAGGATATCAGACAGAGAGGCATTGGCTGGCCCTGTGGTGGTATTGGTCAACTCCTCCACTGGGATCATTGGAGCCAGCAGCTTAGAAAGAAGACTGCTGAACCTGCTCACAGTAGTAGCCACTGGCTCTGAAGATGGGCCTGGGCTGGATGCAGTGAGGTTCAGATCCTCAGGGTCCATACAGAGGCCATCGGAGGAGTGTCCAAAGGCCACCTGGCTGAGATCCAGGCCGGCCACAGAGCCTGGAGAGGCACAAGGCACATCGGTGACCTGCCCAAAGCTCTCCATCCAGTCTCGCAGCCACTCCAGGCTGCAGTCACAGCGCCACGGGTTGCGGAAAAGAAAGAGGCGGCCCAGGAAAAAGCCAGGCTGGAAGGCGGCCCAGGAGAGCATGGTGAGGTGGTTGCCATTTAGGTGTAGAGCAAGGAGGCCCGAGAGGTTCTGGAAGGCACCCTCCTCCACAAAGGCAATGCTGTTGCGATCCAAGTAGAGTAGCTCGAGCTCAGCCAGGTTGGCAAACCATGTGCGTGCCACATGGCCCAGGAAGTTTCCACCCAAGTTGAGAGTGTGCAGGCGGTGCAGGCCACGGAAGGCATCAGCAGGCAGCTCGGCTAGCAAGTTGTCGTTAAGCAGTAGGTACTCCAGGGCACCACAGTCACGGAAGGCACCGGCGTGCACCATGCGAACTCGGTTGGCCTGCAGGCTCAGTGAGTGCAGGTGCCTCAAGCCCTGCAGGGAGCTGGAGGCCACTGCTTCGATGCGGCTGCGCTCCAGGTGCACGTGCGTCAGGTTGGTCAGGCCACGCAGTGCACCCGGCACTCTGCGGAACAGGTTGTCAAAGGCGGTGAGCTCTCGCAGGGCAGGAAGCTCAGCCAGAAGGCGCTCGGGCACACTAAAGAGGCGGCAGGCTGTCAGGTCCAGGCGGCGCAGGTGGCCCAGCGAGGTGAAGGTGCGTGCATGCAGGTAGCGTAGTTCGCCGTTGTGTGCCAGGCGCAACTCTGCCAGACGAGGCAGGCCCTTGAAGGCGCCGGGAGTGATGAAGGACAGATTGTTGTGGCTTAGCGACAGGCGGCATAACGATGGCAGCGTGCCAAAGGCCCGTTCGCCCAGGAAGCGCAGGCCGTTCCGGTCCAGGTCAATGGAGGCTGCCTCGCACGGGAACTCAGCTGGCACCCGCAGGAGGCCAGCTCGGTCGCAGCGCACTGAGCAGCCACGCTCCAGGCTGCTGCAGGAGCAGGCCTCCGGGCAGGTGCTCTTGCAGGCCCTCTCCGCCCAGGCGCTGGGTAGGCTGAGGATCACCACTTGGGCGTGGTTTAGGAAGTGGGAGAAAAAACAAAACAAGGAGTGACTATCAACCACAGGGTCATTGAAGGTAAAATTCTACCTGTCCGCATGGCAGGATGCAGCCCTCCACCAAGTTCTCATACCTTCTGCATAGCAGCATCTTCCAAATGGTCTCTTTCGGCTTCCTAGACCTTACATAGGATTCCCCACACCCATACGTCCCAGTTATCTTAATCAGCAAAATGCAGCTGGAATCCCAGCACCTGACCCCGTTCTAATCTCCCCTCCCTGCCTATATCATCATTTGTGCTCCCCTAGAATTTGACCTACATGGTGTGTTGTCTGCATGTGTAGGGGTCCTCAAAGGCATCACTGTGGCCCACACCCTAGGTCTACACTCAGTGAGCGCAGCTCTCTGAGTGCAGACCTCAAGTACTTAAAATGTGGCTAACCCAAATTGAGATGCACTGTAAGTAAAAAATATAGACCATATCTTAAAGACTTAGTACCAAGAAAAAATATCTCATCCATTTTTATATTGATTACATATTTTAATATTTTATTTATTTTTTTTAGAGAAGGGGAAGAGAAGGAGAAAGTGGGAGAGAAACATCAATGTGTGGTTGCCTCTCATGTACCCCCTACTGGGGACCTGGCCCCACAACCCAGGCGTATGCCCTGACTAGGAATTGAACTGGCAACCCTTTGCTTCACAGGCCCATGCTCAATCAACTGAACTACACCAGCCAGGGCTGATTACATGTTTAAATGATATTTTAGATATAGTTGATTAACTAAAATATTAAAATTAATGCCAACTGTTTCTTTTTATCTTTTTAATGAGGCTACTTGGAAATATAAATATATGTGGCTTGCAATATATTTCTATGGGTGGTGCTGTAATAGTCCCTCCCACCATAAGAATTCAATTCCTGGAAACCCCCATTGAGTAAATTAAGCCTCATGAAAAAGGGGCAATTAGGGAACAGGAGGTTAGAAATGAAAAAGCCTATCAATCTTTTTGCTTTAACAGTCACTAAAATTAAGCCATAAAGACAGCATACTAAATAAACTATCAATGATCTTTCACACCTCAAAAGAATGATTTTAGATACTGTGCAGTTAATTTCCATTCACCAGCCCTTGCTCTCTGCATCATCATGGGAAAGAATGGTGCTTATAAATTAATTTCTTTCTGATCATTTGAATAGAGGATCAGATAAAGACTTCAAAAGCCCTCCAAGTAGGCTTGCCACCTGCAGCAAAGCAAATTAACATGGTCTGCTTCCCTGTGGAAGGCAGAGGTCCCAAGCCCCATCTTGAGTTCCAATGAAAGAAGCAACCTGAAAGATGCACACTTTTTATTTTCTGGGCAGGTGCAGGTCACAGGTAGAGTGCATGTGATCTGAACCTCCTCAGCAGTATTCCCAAATTCCCAGCTATCACTACTGGCCTACCATTCCATTCCCCTCTCATGGTGTACACATGACCCTGCCTTGTCTATTCAAGCCCTTTGGAAATCTAAAGGTGTAGCCACACAGGAATGTGCAAACTGTGTTTGCTGCCATCTCTGTATGTTTGGTGAACTTCCAGTGTCTTTTAAGTACATCGGTTGTGCACACTCCATGTTTTTTCAGCTGCTTGAGAAGAGGATTCAGCCCTTTCAGACATGGCAGGGAGAACACTAAGCCCTTTGAGCAACCTGTCAGTTGTAAATTGTAGTTAGTTCCATATTCTTGTTGCAGAGGCTTGACTTAGCTTTTCCCTGTCCCTAAGAACTGTGAACTAGACACCAAGTTTACAGCAAGGTTCTTTGACCCTGTGCTGAGCTTGGCTATAAGCGGGGCAGCTGCTGACCTAGAGAAATACCAGTTTGAGAGACACAGCCAAGAATATAACCTTAAGTCGGGGTGTCAGTTGGACATATGTGGAACTTTTTCTATCAGCTCTTCCAACCGGGTCAAGTAGAAAGCATCAGGTTTCTTTACAAATAGTCCTTAATTCTACTCTCTTCTCCTTTCTAATTAACAGAAGTACACTCTCAACCATATGACTCATGTTTCTACTCCACAATAGCTAACATTGTTCCAGGTACACTGTATGGTTCAGTAAATGTTTACAGAATTAAATGAAATTGATGCCTTCCTCTCTAATGATTTCTGACAGAGGATGTCATTTATTTTTTTAAAAAAAACAATTCTTCGTTGAAGAATTTGAAGGATTATGACATACAGGATAAAACCAATTTGCTTGTATAATGTAAGAGATCAAAAATGTAGCTGCCATTTTTTTTGACATGCAAGAGTGAAGTTTTTTATTGTATATCCTTTTTACATTTTAAAGCTTGAATCATGTCAATGTAATGCCTATTTCAGAAAGTAAATTAAAGTTTATTTTAATCTTTAAACACTCAAGATGCTGTCAGTATTACAGATCTGTTTTCAGCCTCTGAAACTTTGATAGCCATTGTGAATAATTAATTTTTTTATTATTTAGTGAAATTTTTTTAAAGATTTTATTTACTTATTTATTTATTTTTAGAGATGGGAGAGGGAGGGAGAAATGGAGGGAGAGAAACATCAGTGCAAGAAAGAAACATCATTGGTTGCCTCTTGCACACACCTCAACCGAGGATGGAATCTGCAACCCAGGCATGTACCCTGATGGAGAATCAAACTGGCAACACGTTGCTTCACAGAACGACATCCAACCAACTGAACTATGCCTGTCAGTGCTATTTAGTAAAATCAAGTAAATTCTCAGAACAGACAACCAAACTCCAGTATTGGCTTACCTAATATGAAGACTAACTACCTGTCTAATAACCCAGAGACAAGGGCACTAAAACAAATTTTTTTAAAATAATAACATGTTTGGGTGAGTTCTGCTTGCAATAAATGACCGAGTAGTTTGTATTGGACTAATATTCCTGCCCATAGCTAGTGTAAACTCTGGGGGGGATATATATTTTTTAATTTTGCAGGCACTGGAAAGCAACCTAAACAGGCAATCAGAGCAGATACAACCCTTAGCAAACTAGGTGAGAGGCACATTTAACTAGTGTTTTCTCTTGGCATTTTCAAGTCCACACTGTACACAGGGAATAGAGCTCAAACAGAGAAAGCAAGTCCTATTGGACTGACAAGTTAAAGGTCAGAGTATTCAGCTGCTGCAATGGCTGGAAATTGAGGAGGGAGAACATGGAAAAGAGGAGTCCTAAAGTGCATATCATATGTGTGCAGTGACTCCAAGGAGCCAAGAACTGAAGGCTAAAAGAGCTGAACAGAGATTTCAGTAATTTCCTAGTAATGGGAGAAAGATTAAGAGTTCAAGGTCCACACAGTTAAAAGAGCTTGTACAAATACCTGGAGCTTTCCACTGAAACCTGAGAGAGTCACATCTTTGGAGTAAAGACCTTTTCCCAGGACAAAGGGTAAAACTAAATTAGGCCTATCCTAACAAATCCTAAAACCAAGCCTCTAAACATCAAAGTGATTTGCCAGTAATTTAACTGAATGCCAGAACAAAATTCAATACTCTTCAAAAGAAGAGAAGAGAATCTAGAGTTTCCATAACTACCACCTATGATATTCAGTATACAGTCAAATAATATTAGATATGTGAAGCAGTAGAACATGACACTTATCAAAAGGGGAAAAATAGTTAACAGGAGCAAACCCAGAGACAGTCCAGATGTTGAAATTATCAAAAAAAGGATTTATTATAAATATATCAAGGAATTTATGGGGGAAAATACATATAATGGGTGAAGACATGAGAATTTGAATTTTAGAAGAGCTATGGAAACCCTAAAAATGAACCCAGTTCTTAGTACTGAAATAATAGAATATCTGAAATGTTTTTTTAAAAAATCATTGAATAAAAAAAACCCCAGCAGATTAGATACAGCAGAGGAAAAGATTAATGAACTTGAAGAGAGGGCAATAGAAATTACCCAAAATGAAGCACAGAGAGAAAACAGATTGGAAAAAAATATGATCAGGGCTTTAATGACCTGTGGGATAATATCAAGCAATTAGATTTACATGCATATATTTGGAGTCCCATAGGAGAGAAGAGAGAACATGGCAGAAAAATAATTGAAGACAATTTCCAAAATGGAATTTAAAACAAGCTCAGCAAACCCAAACTAATATCACATACACACACACCCTAGGCACATTATAGTCAAACTACTGAAAACAACATAATGAGAAAAACTTTTTAAACATCCAAAAAAAGACACATTACATAGAGTAACAAGAATAAAAATGATGACTTCTTATCAGAAACAACGGAGGCCATAAGAAAATAGAATTACTGGTATATCTTTTAAAGTGCTGAAAGAAAAGCCAAACCTAGAATTTTATAGCCAATGAAAATATCTTCACAACTGAAACAAAATAGAAATACTTTCAGGTTAACAAAATTTAAGAAAATTCATCTCTAGCAGATCTCCTGTACAAGAAATTAAGACATTCTTTAGCCTGAAAGAAAATGATATTAGATGAAAATCAGATCTATAGGAAGGAATGAAAAGTAATGGAAATGGCAAATATGTCACTAAATAAAAGACTCATCTTCTCACCTTAATTGCTTTAATAGGCAAGTTACTGTTTAAAGCAAAAATAATAATGTATTGTGGAGTTTATAATATATGTAAATGAAAAACATTATAATAACATAAAGAATGAGAAGGGAGGTAAACTGAACTGTACTGTTATAAGGATCTTACATTATTCATGAAGCAGTATAAAATAAAATCAATGTAAACCACACAGGTAAACAGGAACAGAATCACAGAAAATGAGATCACACGGAGGGTTATCAGTGGGGAGGGAGAGAGGGAAAAATGGAGGAAAAGGTACAAGAAATAAGAAGCATAAATGGTAGGCACAAAACAGACAAGGAGAGGTTAGGAATAGTATAGGAAATGAGAAGCCAAAGAACTTATATGTATGACCCATGGATAGGAACTAAGTTGGGGAAATGATGTGGAAGGCAGGGTGCAGAGCAGAGGGGAATAAAGGGGAGAAAAAATGGGACAACTATAGTAGCATAATCAATAAAATATACTTAAAAAACACAGATGTGTAGGATTGTGTGTGTGTGTGTGTGTGTGTGTGTGTGTATAAAACTCTCCAAACAATAATGATGGTGACAGAAGGAAACTTGACTTTGGGTGGTGAGAATACAACACAATGCAATATACAGATGACATTACAGAATTGTACACTTGAAACTCGTATAATCTAATTAACCATAGTTACTCCAATAAATTTAATAAATATTTTAAAACCAATTCTATAGTAACATAATAGATAACCCAATTAATAAATAGGCAAAATGTTTGAAGAAACACTTTACAAAAAAAGATATACAAAAACTAAATAAACACATGAAAAGTTGGCCAACATCATTAGTTATTAGGGAAATGCAAACTAAAATAGCCATCTATTAAAATTAGAAAGATCGACCATACCAAGTATTAGCATATGGAACAACTGGGACTTTCTTACTGCGCTGCTGTTGGGAATATAAAATGGTACAGCCTCTTGGAAACAACGCAGCAGTTTCTTTAAAAGTTAAACATATACCTACCTTGTGATCCATCCATTTACTCCTAGGGAAATAAAAGCATATGTTCATATAAAACACTTGGCACGAATTTTCACAGCAGCTTTATTCATAATAAGCCAAAATTGGAAACAACACAAACACCCATCAAGAGCTGAATGGGTAAACAAATTATGAGTATCCATACAATGGACTATTACTCAATGATAAAAAGGAATGAACTATTGATATGTGCAAAATGGGTGAAGCTCAAGACAATTCTGCTGAGTGAAAGAAACCAGATGAAGAAAAGTACATAGTATATGATTCCATTTACATAAAATTCTAGAGGCTGAAAATTAGTCTATAGTAACAGATTGGTGGTTGCCTGGGGAGGGTTGGAGAGGCAGGGTAGGGCAGGACGGAGGGATTATAAACGGGCATGAATTTTGGGAGCGATGAGTATGTTTATTATCTTGACTTTGTGTATGTTGAATGATGGTTTCATGAGGGTTCGTTTTAAATGTGTTCGGTTTTCAGTTTGTTATATGTCAAATTATACCTCAATAAACCTGTTTTCTTTTTAGAGAGAGAGGGGTGAAGGGAGGAAGAGAGAGAGGGAGAGAAACATTGATGTAACAGAAAAATGAATCAGTTGCCTCTCTCATGCTCCCTGACTGGGAACCAAACCTGAAACCCTTTGTTTTGCTGGGCAATGCCCAAGCAACTGAGCCACGCCAGCCAAGGCTCAATAAAGCTGTTTAAGAAAAAAAAAGACACCATTAAGGAAAGGAGTACTTTATATGTGGCTTGTGTACAGAATAGAAAAACATCTAAAATGAATAATGAAAGACAACTAAATAAAAATGGATAAAAGACTTGAACACTGCAAAAGAACATATTAAGTAGCCATTAAGCACATGGAAAGGTGTTCAACATCACTAGCCATTAGGGAAGTACACTTAAAGCTACAGTGAGATTTCCCTGCACACCTAGTAGAATAACTAAAATTTGAAAGACTGACAACTCCAAATGTTGGTGAGAATACAGAACAACTGGATTCTCTTACATTGTTGGTGGGAGTGGAAAATAATTCAATAACTTTGGAAAACTTTGGCAGTGTCTATTAAATCTAAACATATGCCTTCCCTATGACTCAACAATTCTACTAGTAAGTATTTACCCAAGGGAAATGAAAAAAATTTGCATAAAGACTGTACAAGAATGTTCATAGTAGCTTATTCATGATAGATTATAACTGGAAATTAGCCAACAGTATAATACAGAAGCAAATTACAATTTACTTATATATCAGAATACTACTCAGCAACAAAAAGGAACAAACAAAAAAGTTATGTTGAGCAAAGAAACTTAACACAAAAGAATACATACTGTGCAAAAGCATTTCTATGCAGTCCTAGAACAAGGTTGCTGACAATGGAACTGGGAGTTCCAGTGAACAAGGCCTACAGATGGACGCCAGTGTAAAAGATAGCAAATATCTACAGGACATGGTTTAGGCATGTTATCTGGGTATATGATCTGTACAATGCTACTCAAATTAAATTTTATGGGTTTCAGCCCTGGCTGGTGTAGCTCAGTGGATTGAGCACGGGCCTACAAACCAAAGGATCGTGGTTCGATTCCCAGTCAGGGTACATGCCTGGGTTGCAGGCCAGTTTCCAGCAGGGGACTCACAAGAGGCAACCATACATTGATGTTTCTCTCCCTCTCTCCTTCCCTTCCCCTCTAAAGGTAAATTTTTTAAATGTTTAAAATTTTTTATGGGTTTCATTTGCTCTGATAACAACCAACTTTTAATTAGTGTTTGCTCAGGGCTAACCTTGCTACATACATTATTTCATTTAAGATGATAATCCTGCAAGGTAGCATTCTCTTCTCACAAAAGAGGAAACTGAGGTTCAGGATGGTTAATCAACACCAACCTTTGTTTTTTGTCTTTCCAGTATACTGTAGTACCCCCCATCCCATATACCTAACCATTCTGAGGTTCCACTTCTTTGACTGTGAACTGAAGGGCCTGCACTTCCTGACCTTTGCGGGACCTTCTGGCTCTCATTTTTCCATGGTCTAACAGTAGCTGTTGCCAAACCATCACCTCTAAGAAAAAAACACCTCACCCAGACCTCCATGTGTCTCTACCACCTCCTCCCAGCCACAGCTATTTGGGCCAAGGGTGAACTTTTGGCCCAAGCAGGGTCAGATTCATTCCTTCCCTATGAACACGGAACGGACAGTGAAATCATGTGAGAACCAACCTGTATGGCTTCAGGGCTGGAATTTGTATGAAAGCCATGTGCAGGTCAAAGCTATAGGGAAGCAGCAATCAAGGTGTAGGGTCAATGGACATGGCCCTTCCCCTCCCCTTGGCCAGAAGGAATGTATATTGTTTTGGGAATGGATTGTAACTCCCTCCTTACCTCCTTTGGGGAGCAGTTTCTGCTCCTGTGACTGCTTCTGGACCTTTTCCTTCTGCATGTACACAGAGGTAATACAGTTTAGAGTCACATGTAGGACACGTGCCTCATTTGTCTGGGACCCTGTATAACAAGCCTCAGACTGGAAGAGGTGTGGTCTCTCTCACACAAGCCTGCTGCCATCAATGAACTCTCCTGTAGTGTGAGTAATAAACGGCATGTCCACATAATGCTATTCTTCCAAGTGGTTTTTTTTTCTGTAATATCATGAACACTTAAGCAGGTCCCTGGTTTGGGGCTCCTGTGTTACACAAGGTAAGGAAAAGGTGAGGAAGTTGGTGTGCTGAGAGATTAGAACCAATGTGAGAAAGACAAAGCTGGAGATCAGGGAGTGTGGGAAGCTGCTAGCCAGTTCTGTAATGCCCTGCTATAGCTGTTTCTGTGACATTTCCCTGTTTTCATTTCAGAAACCCACTCAAACCATCTGTGTGGACAAGTAGATTTCTGTTCCTTGTTACAAAACCATGTCTGATAGTAGTGGACATTTGACACGGTTTCTGGCTCCCCAGAACCTTTTAAGTATTCTTTCTATACTTAGGGAATTTCCTACCTTGTAAATCCTGCCTCCTCCAAGTTGAAACCATAAAATTTCCCAATTGCCCTTGCAGCTAGGGCCCAAGCACATAACCTAGCTTTGTGGATCACATACAGCCAGTGAGACTTGGATTCAGATGTAGGTGTTAGGCAGTAACCATTTTCTGGCCAGTATGATGGCACAGGCACCTGGCTTTCAGGCTGCCATGATGGAATTTCTGACACCCGGCACCCAGCATGATTTCCATGAGCTGCCAGGTGTGTCGCCAGTGGTGGTGGTCGCATGTTCTTTGCTACAGCCGTGCCACTACCTGGTTTAGGCATTGTTCCAGGCAGTGGGTCTCCAAGCAGTAAGACTGGGAACAACTAACATGCCTAAATAAACCCCTTCTCAGCCTGAACGACCTATATATAGTGAGTTCTATGGTTTGCAACTACATTCCTGAACAACATCCTGAGTAAGGAAATTTCCCTTAATCTCTGGAGTGAGAGACATTACCAACACTGTAAGATAATCCATTACCTCCTCCCTCCCCCTTTCCCTGAGGAACTTGGTGAACTCTTTACCTTGAAAGAGAAAACTAAAATTCGAAACCAGGCAGTGCCCCTCAACTAAAAGGAAGCTCCTTACCATTCGTTGCCAAGAAATAGAAGAAAGTGAATTCCAAATTGTTTAAGCCATCCCTAATTTTTCCAAATCCAAATGAAAAGTGGCTTCTCCTGGAAGCAGCAGTGATCATTCCAAAAACAAATCTTGGCTGTCCAGAGCTGAGTTCCATGGGAATACTTTGGCCAGAAAAACATTTACCAAATTAAAATAAAGATCAGTTTGTGAGAAGAGAAGGTCAAACATTGGCAGTTCTTAGCAATTCCTGTTCTCATACGGGTATTTTTGGAAAGGATCCATGTGAAAATCTGAAAAGGCTATTCAGTGCTTTTATTCCCAGTCTGAGGTATGGAGGGGAGATGAGAAACTCAGCAGGACTGGCCACAGCTCAGCCAGCCTCTGTCATAGCTCCAGGATTCACACGTGGGACTTTTTCCAGAGCATTCAGTCTAGAAACATTTGTCCTGAGGCTGTGGCCTCTCACTCTAGCTCTCTCACAAACTCCCACGACACTGCCTTTCATCCCTGCTCTTTCAGACTGCTTTCATTTTTGTTTTTCATCTCAAACAACCTTCCTGCATCTCAGTTTCCTTATCTATAACAGGTGGGCAATTATGAGGAACAGATGAGCTGGGATACTTGAAACAGCTGTGAAAGCATTGAGCAAAGCTAAGAATAGGCTCCATGAGCCACCGTTGTCACAGCATTAAATCTCACCAAGGTTGAGGAACAAGTATGAAAGACACAGAGATGAGGACTGGGGGGGTGGGGAATGGGAGGGAGGGGGGAGACCAGGCGAGGGGGGTGGGGTGGGATGGGAGAAATAGATAAAAAAAAATGTACTTGAAAAGTAACTAAATAAAATTTAATATTAAAAAAAATCTCACCAAGGGACTGGTCCCTCAAAGACCATGTGGAAATCTGCCCCATTGTAGAAAGCAAGATACCAAATATAAGAATATTGGTTATTACTAGAAGTAGACTGCAAGGAGGAGTCTAGAATAGTTTGCTATGAGAGTTGCAAACTATGAGGAAGAACCACTTGAGGAAGTTTTTCAAAAAATTTTAGAGAGAGGGGAAAGGAGCGAGAAACAGAGGGAGACAAACATCAGTGTAAGAGGGAAACACCAATCAGTTGCCTCTTGCACATGCCTCGACTGGGAATTGAACCGGTGACCATTTGACCATTTGTGAGTTGGTAGAGTAGACGACACTCTACCAACTGAGCCACACTGGCTGGGGCCACTTGAGTAACTCACAACTACAACGCCCAAGATATACACCTGACCAATTACATCAGAATCTTCAGCAGTGGAACTGGGTATTGGTCCTGTTAAGCTATTTAGGTGATTCCAACATACAGCCCTAATGAAAAAAGGGGGTCTTAGTGGGTCAACTTCATAAAAATGAGACTCATCTGTGTTGTATAAAATGTTACAAAGTGTAACATGGAATCGGTATATGCCCCAGCAGTTCCACTCTGATATATGTACCCAAAGGAATTGAAAGCAGATGTTCTAACAAATACTTCTATACAAATGTTTATAGCTGCACTATTTGCAATAGCCAAAAAATGAAAATGACAAATATCCATTTACAGATGAATGGATAAACAAAAGGTGGTGCATCCACATAGTGGAATAGTATTCTGCCACAAAAAGGAACAAAGTACTGGCACATGCTACGTGGACGAACCTAAAAAGCATTATTCTATGTGAAAGCGGCCAGACACACAAGGCCATACATCACATGATTCCATTTTATATGAAATGTCCAGAAGAGGCAAATGCATAGAGACAGAAAATAGATTAATAGATTAGAGAAGACTGAGGCATGATGGCTTAATAGGTACAGAGTTTCCTTTCAGGGTGATGAAAGTGCCTTGGAACTAGATAAGGGTGATGGTTGCACAACATTGTTGAATGTACTAAATGCTTCTGAATGGCACACTTTAAAATGGTTAATTTTATCTTTTGTGAATTTTACTTCAATAAAAGAAATGTTGCCTTTGCACATGTAGTTCAGTGGATTGAGTGTCAAGCTACAAACTGAAAGATCACTGGTTTGATTCCCAGTCAAGGCACAGGCCTGGGTTGTGGGCCAGATCCCCAGTTGGGGGTGTTCAAGAGGCAACCAATCGATATTTCTCTAACACATCAAAGTATTTTTCCCTCTCTTTCTCCCTTCCCTTCCCCTCTCTCTAAAAATAAATAAATAAAATGCTTTTTAAAAAAAGAAATAGACTTCTGGCCAATATGGAGGTGTACATAAATACACTTTACCTCCTTGCACAACCAAAAGAAGGACAACAACAAATCTGAAAACAAAAAAAAAAACAAAACTGCCAGAAAATTGAACTGTATGGAAGTCCAGCAACCAAGGAGTTAAAGAAGAAACATCATTCAGACTGGGAAGGAGGGGCAGAGACTGGCAGCTGGGGTGGAGAGGATGCATAGCAAAGCTGCAGCTGGAGGACTAGGCAGGCGCGGCATCAGCTGGCAGTCCAACATTTGTGTGTGGATAAACCAGGAAGAACCACTGGGGACTGTGACAGATTGTGCAACCTAGAGTTCCAGCATGGGAAAATAGAGCCTCGAACTTCCAGCCTCACAAGAGCTCGTTGGAGAGACCCACATGGTCCTAGAATGTACACAAACTCATCCACCCAGGAATTAGCACTGGAAGGGCCCAATTTGCTTGTGGATAGTGGGAGAAGTGACTGAAAGCCGGCTGAGAGCCAAGCAAGTGGCATTGTTCCCTCTCAGACCCCTTCCGCACATACGGCACCACAACACAGAAACATGGGTTGCCCCGCCCTAGTGAATACCTAAGGCTCCATTGGGCCAACAAAATAGGTCTGCTGAGACAAAGAAATATGGCCCAAATGAAAGAACAGATCAAAACTGCAAAAATACAACGAAGCAATGACAAGATAACCAACCTATCAGATGCACAGTTCAAAACACTGGTAGGATGCTCACAGAAATGCTTGAGTATGGTCGCAAAATAGAGGAAGAAGTAAAGGCTATGCAAAGTGGAATAAAGAAAAATATGTGGGGAACCAACAGTGAAGGGAAGGAAATCAGGACTCAAATCAACGATTGGGAGCAGAAGGAAGAAAGAAACATTCAACCAGAACAAAATAAAAAAACAAGAACTCAAAAAAATGAGGAGAGGTTTAGGAACCTCCAAGACATCTTTAAATGTTCCAACATCTGAATTATAGGGGTGCCAGAAGGAGAAGAGGAAGAGCAAGAAATCAAAAACTTATTTGAGAAATTAATGAAGAACTTCCCCAATCTGGCAAAGGAAATAGACTTCCAGGAAGTCCAGGAAGCTCAGAGAGTCCCAAAGAAGTTGGACCCAAGGAAGCACACACCAAGGCACATCACAATTACATTACCCAAGATTAAAGATAAGGAGAGAATCTTTTTTTGGTTAAAGATTTTATTTATGTATTTATTTTTACAGAGAGGAAAAAGGAGGGAGAAAGAGAGGGACAGAAACATCAATGTGTGGTTGCTTCTCGCATACCCCCTACTAGGGACCTGGCCTGCAACCCAGGCATGTGCCATGACTAGGGATCAAACCAGTGACCCTTCGGTTTGCAGGCTGGCGCTCAATCCACTGAGCGACACCAGCCAGGGCTAAAGATAAGAAAAGATTCTTAAAAGCAGCAAGAGAAAAAGAGACAGTTACCTACAAAGGATTTCCCATAAGACTGTGAGCTGATTTCTCAAATGAGACCTTACAGGCAAGAAGGGGCTGGAAAGAAGTACTCAAAGTCATGAATGGCAAGAACCTACATCCAAGATTGCTCTATTCAGGAAAGCTATCATTTAGAATGGAAGGGCAGAGAAAGTGCTTCCCAGATAAGGTCAAGTTAAAAGAGTTCATCATTATCAATCCCTTATTATATGAAATGTTAAATAGACTTATCTGAGAAGAAGAAGATCAAAACTATGAACGGCAAAATGACATCAAACTCTTAACTATCAACAACTGAACCTAAAAAAAACAAAAATAAAAACAAACTAAGTAAACAACTAGAACAGGAATAGAATCATAGAAATGGAGATTATATGGAGGGTTATCAGTGGGGAGGGGAATAGGGGGGAATGGGGGAAAATGTACGGGGAATAAGAAGCATAGTAGGTAGGTACCAAATAGACAGGGGAAGGTTAAAAATAGTATGGGAAATGGAGAAGCCAAAGAACTTATATGTACGACCCATGGACATGAACTAAGGTGGGAGAAATGCTGGTAGGAGGGGGGATGCAGGTCAGAGGGGAATAAAGGAGAGGGAAAAAAAGAAAACAGCTATAATGACATAATCAATAAAATATACTTAAAACAAGAAATACTACAAGGTGTTCCTGAATCTGAGCAAACAGCAGAAACAGGTCCTTGTGTCTGTGGTCTGGTTGGTGTACAGACCAGCCTTTGACCTGCAGAGAGGCCATGGTAGCTGGGCTCACATGCTCCACAGACTGATGTCTCAATGCAGACCAGCTGAGAAATTTCTCCTTTGGAGGCCCTTAGCTCTTCTAATATGTGCTTTTTCCCCCTTGAGGTTTGCTAAAACAGTTACTCATGGAGTTTCCAACCACAGATTGAGTTTGAAGTTTCTTCATTCTCATTGTTTTCAAAGAACTTGTGCTGCATGAAACCAAAATAACAAGAGAAAATATGGTCAATTTTCTGGGTTCAGCAAAAT